TTATCCATTGCTAAATTATGGCTCATCATAGACTAGCTAACCACAAAGCTAGCTAATGCCACTATCATCAGTCTGTTCTGTGTGAAAATAAAAGAAACAAGTTTGCATTATCATATTATTTTAGTTAAAACTCATAAATAACTACAAATAACTAATATTAGGGGAATCTGTTAATATTTTGTTGCGCGTTTCGAAAAAAAAAATGTTCTTTTTTAAATATCGGCCGATATATCGGATTTTAAAACCAACAAATATTTGTATCGGTATCGGCCTTCAAAATCCTTTATCGGTCGGACTCTAGTTTGATGTCTTTGTGATTTTTATTCTGGAAAACAAGCTAACCTTGCAGCGGCACCAAATTGCTGTATTTTTGAGTCATGGCCTTTTAACACGCCTAGTTTGAGTATATCCATTGAATCTGGCCCACAAAGTCATCCTTGGACATTGTGTGGATGAAAACTTCAGTTGCCATAGAGATTGCACATCCGCCTTCTCAAACTCACACCAGTCAGACCAGTCAGTGTGTGAAGAAGACTTATAGGTTTCTAAATCAGTAAAATGGCACTATACATCATTTCCATCTTGATGTGATGCATCGTTTCACTGGCTTTCATTGATCTCCCATTATCATGAACCAATATCAGCCAGCCCGATGAATCGATGTGCTTACTGAGGCATGATGGTTATGAATCGTTTGTTACTTGGCAACTAGAACCCACACACACACACAGGTCAAAATACAAGTGCTTAAAGCGAGCCGCTTCCCAGATGGCTCCGCTCATCTGTGTAGGGTTGTGTGACAGTGGTGTGGGTTTCACTTTGATACTGTACGTGCTGATACACAATATGATTAAACCAGGCCCTTGGGTTTGTTCGACCTAATACACTTTGTGTTGTATTGTGCCACAGGCACGTGCCGCTCCTGTGTGTGTATTCTCGATGAAAGCCACTTTTTCTTAATCATCAGGCCTAGGTATTACATTTTCACATTCACTCTGTACGCTGCATTTGTGTCCGTGAGCACAGGCTCAAAGTTTGGTGACCCTGCTGTTTGATCGTAAGACGAGCTGACATAGACAAAGCCTCTCGCTCCACTTGAAGAGTTGTGCGTCGTCCAGGGTTGCGTACGGGTGACAAAATTGCTGGCTGAGTTTAAACTAGTGTGGCATGTGAGCCTCCCACTGCCCGCTCGTTTAACTGGATACAAATAAAGCCAACAATCTAGATGTTTGCGTTAGCCACTTTTTCCTTTCTTGATTTGAGTCAAGAGCCGGGAATGGTTGTTACACGTTAGTGTCCACCTGTCTACCGCCACTTGCATCTGTGTTCTTCATTTTAATGCAAATATACTAAGTAGAGCCAGACCGATATATCGGCAGGCCGATATTAGGCATTTTCCAAACTATCGGTATCGGCGGTTATAACGGCCGATAAATGAATATTTCAAAAATAAAATAAAAACGGACAAAACACGCTTGAACCATGTCATGAGTGTTGGATTTGTATGGTTTGTCCACCAGAGGGCACTCTACACCGTTCCTGTTGGCAACACTCGTTGAGTTGGTTACGACAGGGGCGTCACTAGGCTTCAGAAATGAAAAGCATATTGCGAGGAAATGACGCATATTGCGTCTTAAGGTTGTCCGTACGTGTAGACGCTACCCGCACGTCGCCGTTTACATCGGGATATTGCAATTCCATGTATACAGGAGAAACTCTCTCTGCTCACGCATGTAAAAGGGTTATTCCTAATGTTTCAGAAACCTAAATAGCGACCTTAACTTGACCATAACCCCAAAATTGGATGCCTGTAAACGTAGTCAGTGTAAAATTCGTTAAACTTTTTCGATAAGCTTACATTTTGAGTGAACTTGCATTTACACTTTTTTTTTGTTTTTAAATAATAGTCATTGGTTACTTCTAAAACAAACAAAAAAACAAATTTGGAAAGATTTCTTCATATATGTATGTATATATATTAGGGCTGTGCAAAAATTAATTGCGATTAATCGCATCCAAAATAAAAGTCTGTGTTTACATGAAATATTTGTGTGTGCTGTGTATAATTATTTTGTATATATAAATACCTATGCATGCATGTATATATTTAAGAATTATTTGCGCTTAAATTCTGTATATATGTAAATGCATCATCTATATTATATAAATATAGATATTTTATATATGAATAACACATTTTCTTAAATATATACATGCATGTGTGTGTATTTATATATACAAAATAATTATATACAGCACACACAAATATATTATGTTAACACAGACTTTTATTTTGGATGCGATTAATCGCAATTAATTTTTGCACAGCCCTAATATATATATATATATATATATATATATATATATATATAATTTTATTTTATTAAGCCATATAATGAAAGTCAGCGGTGTCTAATTTTGTTGGACCCCACATGCTTTCACTTTGAGCAAATCATCCTTCAGAATATCTTTTTGTGTTCTACATTTTTGGAACAATATGAGAGTAAATGATGAATTTGGGGTGACCTCTCCCTCCATATGGTGGTAAAAATGGTGAAAAATACATTTTCATGGTGGGTCATTTTTCTCAGTTCACAAACTGTTGGCAGGTCTGGGTGAAAGTAGCTCTGCATTGGATATACTGCATTATTTTATAAAATTTAAAAGTGTGCACCATCAGCATGTAATTTATCCAGTCCTGTGCCCACTCACAATTACCACTAAATTTCCTTGCTCTGGCAATATTATTTTCCAGCATCTTATGTCGTTCCTGTCCACATTGATTTCCATAACACAGCTAATTGGTTTCTGCTGTGTGCTTCCTGTCTTAACCACATCAGACTCTGCTGACACTGACATAATTGGACCACTAAAAGTTTTGAGATGCTTGAAATTTCCCCCACATTTTAAAGGGTTAACAGGGCTGTCGTGGTGATAGTTTGGCTTGCATATTCCCCTGTGTGCATGTAGGCAGGCAGGGGAACTATAATGATTTAGCGGCTGCACTGTAATGTGCCCCATCCTCCCCTGGCTTTGATACACATTCAGACAGATCAAGTTGCATAATGAATATTTTACACATGCCTGCACGGCATGCATTTATGAAAGGTCCTGCCATGCACAGGGCGAAATTGTTTTTGCCTCTGCTCTTTTATTCTCTTATTAATTGTCAACAGTTGAAGTCACCTACAGTAATAACACACGAGCCGCTATATGTGGCATCAGCAAATAAACCTGTTGTTGCTTTCAATCTTCCGTCTTATTCTCTCTCTAATACAGTGTCTTTCTTTTTGTCTATTTAGAGAGGTCGATTGACATGGCAAACTACATTTAAATAGAGTGCAACAGTGACCACTGACTATTAGTAGCTTTTTTCGAAATACATTATTGAATGAAATCCTCTAAGCCTTGAGCCAAATAATCCATCTCCAGTATGATTCACAATTTTCTGGTATTTGAAATAGGGCTGTGAAATGATTAATCGCATTCAAAATAAAAGTTTGTGTTTACATAATATATGTGTGTATAATTATTTTGTATATATAAATACACACACATGCATGTATATATTTAAGAAAAATGTGTTCTCAATATATCAAATATTTATATATAATGTTAATTATGTATAAATATATATAAAGTATACACATGCAAATATTTCTTAAACATATACATGCATGTGTGTGTATTTATACAAAATAATTATACACACTACACACACATATATTACGTAAACACAAACTTTTATTTTGGATGCGATTAATCACGATAATTTGAGCCCTAATTTGAAACAAAGGTACAATACTGTATATTTAACATCTTTTTTATGAAGCAATAAACTTGATTTAAAAATCAACAGTAGAGTATGAAACAACTGAATATAATTAAAGTAATTCAGAAGTATACCTAATATATATATAAGTATACCTAAGAAATACCTTATATTGGAAAGTTATCTTATATTAGAAGTAATTTGTAAAATAAATACATACACAGTGACCTGATTACATAATTTGCAATGCTTTATGGCATTATTATTTTAATTTCATAGACTTCTCCGATTGACTGATCTCTGTTCAGGAATTTTAATTCTCAAATTAAACGTTGTTGTTGTTGTTGTTGTTAAATTCACATTGACTTGATTTAACATCATCAGTTGCTTGATTGCTGTACACACTAGCCTTCAAAAGTTTGGAAACATTAAGGTTTTTATTTTATTTCATTTCATAGAAAATCATTGTTACAAAAAATTATATTTCATGAATGTTGTTTCTGTTCATCAAAGAAAAAAAGTATTAGTATATATTTCTGTTTTTACTGTATTTTTGTATTAAATGCAGCGTTGTTGAGCAGAAAAGATTCTCAATGTGGTGTACGTTATCGGTAAACGTGTGAAGAAAACGAGTGGGATTTTACTTCGAAAGTAAAACATCTGTTGCAGCTCAGCCACATGCAATTAAAATAGTGCAAAATTAAAATAATTATTTAACTTTATTTAACCAGGTAAGCACATAGAGAACGCTTTCTCAGTTGAAACGGCGACCTGGCAAGATAAAGCGAGGGTGCATGACGTACAAATAGTTGCACATAAATTATACAAAATACACAAGAAATAAAATTTTAAACTAAAATACAGCATTTTCCGGACAATAGAATAGACAAAGTCAGTACATAAACAATTAATGGAGCACAATCTATAATAAAGCATAAAATTATTGTCTAAAAGGTAACTAGACAACTACATAAGTGGTGCTGTAAATGATACTGGGCATTATTGCGCAGGATAATTGTACACATTTATAACACATTAGATATTAGATAATGTTGCAAGTATAAATATGATCAGTGTACAGCAAACCTCTCTCTTTCAGCTCCTCCCACCCTCTCGTACTCGTTCACTCATGCTCTGCCTCTCTGAATGCACTTGTAAGTTTAATCTCCACTGAGGAGGAGGAGGAGGAGGAGGAGCGCCAATGCATGTTAGGTATCTCAGTAGCTGACAGATACAGTGCTCACAGGGGGAGGCATGAGAAGACATCTTATCCATTGATGCATCAATTTGTTGCTTTATGTTTGAAGCTATTTTGCAAAGTGATCTGAAGCACTGAGCTGAGATTACAAAGAAACCAGCTAGTGTGTTTGGATATGCGCTGAAACAAGGATTTGAAAACAAAGGAAATAAAGACTAGGACTCTGTTGAAGTCTCTTACGTGAGACTATATGTGACATGGACGGCGTGCAGGTGGTCTTGAGCAGAAGCCCATTTGATAATCGAGCTGTGAAGTTCTCGTGCCGGTCGGGGAAGCAATGAAAAAGGATTCGCGGCATCGCTGAAGACTGCTTCATCAAGTCTAGTTGAGCAAGTCAGGCTTCAGTTTGGATCAGTTATCAGTGAGCAGGAGTCAAACACATTGCACAAAGGACTGAGAAACTTTTTCATTGAATTTTCTCTGCGATAACCGTGCATCCTCTGAGACGGGATGCAGGTGTCTTTTGTTTGCACGGACCACCGGTCCATGAGCCGCAGCACGGATGACCGGCTCAATCGACAAAACGCTAACAGTCCGAGCTCTGGTACCCGAAGCAAGTTCAAAGCCGTGGCCATGGTGGCCAGAAGCCTAGGGCAGCTGTCCGTCCAAAGCGTGCCCTCTTCAAGTGACCAGAGCATGAGAACTGGCATGAAATATAGGTAGGAGAACTAATATTGACTGTGAATCCTGTTGGATAATATCCTTTGCATTAGAGCCAGACCGATAAAGGACTTCGAAGGTCGATACCGATGCAAAATATTTGGGTAACACTTTACGATAAAGGTTCATTAGTTAATGTATTAACTAACATGAACTAACAATGAGTGATGCATTTGTTACTGTATTTGTTCATGTTTGTTAACGTTAGTTAATAAAAAATACAGCTGTTCATTGTTTGTTCCTGTTAGTTCTCGGTGCATGAACTAATGTTAACAAGATTTAAATAAAATACTAGTAAATGCTCAAATATCAATAAATGCTGTATATGTGCAGTTCATATTAACTTATTGTAAAGTGTAACCAATATTTGTTGGTTTTAAAATCCGATATATCGGTCGATATTATTATTTTTATTTCAGAAACGCGCAACAAAATATTAACAGCTTTCTCTAACATTAGTTATTTATTTATGAGTTTTAATTAAAATAATATGATAATGCATTTTAAAAAGAAACTTGTTTCTATTGTCACAACATCAAAATATATTAAAGTTCTGATAAATAAAATAATAATTAGTCCCTACATTGCCTTATAGTTATAAGCTACCTTATAATTACAATGTCATCTTGCTTATCCCTTTACCTGCACTTTTTGACAACACTCATGATGGTTGATGCGTGATTAGTCTGTTTTTATTTTATTTTTTAAGTATTAATTTATCAGCCATTATAACTGCCGATACCGATATTTTAGAAAATGCCTAATATCGGCCGATAATATCTGCCTGCCGATATATCGGTCTGGCTCTACTTTGCATCTTAAATGATCATGGTCAATAGAATTTTGTTAGTTTTTTATGTAAAAATATGATTTGCACACAGAAAAAAAAGAATAACATTTGCATCATTTTCTCATTGTTGAATGCTAAATGGTCCTATCAGGTTTAATAGTGTTATAATTGGTTTACGCCGGTGCCTGTATATATTTCAACAAAGTGCTTTGCTTGCATATAATGAAATCAGCCCCATTAATTTGACTATTACTCTTCAAATCATTCTGCAAATGCAGCTTTAACTGTTGGAGGATAATGGCTACTTTTTTTAACCCAATTGAGCCTCTGGCTAAATAGATTCATGTCCCTGCATTGCCATGAAAATCCCAGAGCTTTTTGTCCTCATAGATTGACTGACACATGTGTTTTATAATCGTTCTCTTAGGTGTTCATAATATATAATAGTATTATATAATTTCGTTATATAATTTGATGCCAGTTTTGTATTTCCAAGAGTTCATCGTTCTATTTTTCGTTAAAATGCGAAGCAAATTGAAATGTAACGTTTTCTACATTCATTAGCAACAAACCTGCAAGTATTTTGTTCATTTGCATAATGACTGCTACAAAAACTGCTTTCAGCTGTCATGTTCGTTTACACACACACACACAAATCCTGATAACAGCTCTTAATGGAAGCATTTGATCTTCCCCTCCTATTTGAAATCAGGATTGCAAAGCGATTTTGTTGTCAGAGGATCCAATTTGTGTCAGGCTTAATACTCGCTCCTGTAGAGAGAGAGAGTTAGCGAGACCTTGTTAATTTCATTTATTCATTCATTCTGAGTTACTTCATGCTCTGTCACTGTCTTGAAGCCTTGTCTTCCCTTTTTAAAGAAATCCTCATTTACAGTGTTACAAATTTTATATGGAACACATTAAAAATAAATAAAAAAAGCTACAGCTCTTTCTGTAAAACAATAATGGCCACATATTTCAAGTTCCAAAAAAGTAAATAAACACCATAAAATACTGAATAATAATCTTTTGGTGGTAGTAGTACATAGGACTTGTGCACTGTATTGTAGGTGTTCTGACTTTATTTAAGTTGTCATTCATTGATAGTCTTCTGATAGTTGTTAGTCTCTCTCTATATATGTAAGGGGTTACCATAAACTAAAATGCATTCTGGTACAGCATTCTGGTTTCTAATGATTTAAAGGAGTAGTTCACTTTAAAAAAACACTTTTGCTGTAAATTTACTCACCCCCATGTCATCCAAGATGTCCATGTCTTTCTTTCTTCAGTCGAAAAGAAATGAAGGTTTTTGATGAAAACATGCCAGGATTTTCTCCATATAATGGACTTCAATGGGGTCCAAATGAGACTTTTAGTGCAGCTTCAAAGGGCTTTAAACGACACCAGACGATGAATAAGGGTCTTATCAAGCTAAATGAATCTTCAATGAACGAAATGACTCGAAAAAAGATTCGTTCATTTTGATGAACGGGTTCGAACAGGAGAGTTACGAACCCGCATAAAAGAACAGAGCAAGGCGAGCATTTGAGCTTATAAAACTTAAACTTTTTTATTTATTTTTTAAATAGCCCATTGTTTCGCTTGATTAGACCCTTATTCATCGTCTGTTGTCGTTTAAAGCCCTTTGAAGCCGCACTGAAACTCTCGTTTGGACCTTGAACCGTTTGGACCCCATTGAAGTCCATTATATGGAGAAAAATCCTGGAATGTTTTCATTTCTTTTCGACTGAAGAAAGAAACACATGGACATCTTGGATGACATGGGGGTGAGTAAATTATCAGCAAAAGTGTTTAAAAGTGAACTAATCCTTTAAGAGCATGTAAATATAAGAAATTTTTGGGGTGACTTACGCCTTTAAGCGAGAGGTAACATTCTTTCTCCAAGCGTTATTTGATTCCAGCGCCTTCTGTTGTCTTGAGATTGAGATTATAGAGCGATTTTCCCCAATGCCAATAGTCAAAGATCCTTCCGGCTCTTAGAAGCCCCCATTATTGACTGTAAGGTCAGCATCTGATCTTCTGCCAGAGGATGTGTGTCTGAGCATCGCTTTGAGCGGATCTTCTCTAATGAAGCTCAGGGGGTCCGAATCGAGCCCTGCCAGGCGCCTTCTTTGTGAGTACATGTATATGTGAGCAGTTTCTTAGACTGTTTGTTTGTGTGTGTTTGAGAACTGTGCCCAAATACCCAGAGGAAGAAACAGCCCGGGACGCACTGCTCTCTTGTCAGGGTGAGTTTCAATGATGTGCCATATTAAGTCCCTAGAGCTGTTGGAAGCAGAAGTGGGCCATTGCACTCAAGGTTCAAGAATCTGAAACATTAGCACAGGAAGTTACATCACTGACCACTTTTAATGCGATATAATGAACATGAAAACAAGCAGCTGGCTACTAGAAGGACAGGTGAAGAATGTTCATGCCACATTGCTGGGAAAACAAATGTGCGTTTCACTATAATTAGCTTTTAACTCTGATAAAAGTCCTTCCAGTCCTGTTTTTCGGGATTCACGCCGGCAAACCGGCACCTTTGTCTCACCTAATGTAATCTTTTTTAGTCAGTTTCAATCAGAATCTCATTCTGCCCGGATGAATCGAAGCGGACAGGGCCATTGTAAAGAGAGAAGAGTGGAGGGGGGGCTTTCAATTAACCAGCACCTTTCCCAGTCCGGCTCAGTATTACTCTGGTCTCTCTCCACAAAAGCATTGCACCGGTGGGTGTAGGATTGGGAATGTTGCCATATTGTAGATTGAAGTAGCTAATCCTCACTCTATGTGGAGATGATTCAGTTTAGCTGTGTGGACAGTTTAAATGACTCCGGTCAGGATTCGATTAATGATTTAGGTAAAACAGGTTTATGATTTTGTTGGATAAGATCCTATCACGCTAGATTCTGCGGTAACACTTTACTTGAAGGCGTGTGCATAAGACTAACATGATGCCTTTATAACCATGACATGATGTGTCTTGAATGTGATGTCTTTCGCTCAATAATGACATTTTGAATGCAAATATGACATCTTTGTTATGACATCTTGACATAAACCATAACATCATAGCAGTTTTAACTTAATAAAATGAAGTTAATCTGTCATGTGGTTGGCTTTGACATTATAACTGTGTCATGAATATTTTTCGTGACCTCAACTACAGTGGTACTAATTGAATTTGTCATTAAAAAGTTATAATGGCTTCATGACAGCCAATGTCAAAACCAACCACCTGACAGTTTAATGTAATGTTAACCAATAAAGCTAGGTGCTTTCTTAATTTAAGTGTCACCCCCCCCCCCCCTTTTTTTTTGAATATACTGTAGATAAAAATGCACATTTCGAACTTAAATGGTTGTAATTCAAGAATGCTTTGGAATATAGACGTAAGATTGGTCTCGTTTTAAAGAAGACATTTGGCAGATTTTTGTAGAAGTGAAATAAATTAAGAATGTGAAACAGAAAAAAAGTTATAGAAGTTTGAGTTTATGAAAATGTACAATATTAAAAATGTAATTATTCATATTTTATATAAAATATATATTTTCAAAACCTGGGCCGACTGCTAAAAAATCAAAGCCAAAAATCTGAATAAGTTGTGTTTCAAATTTTAGGTTGATATCTCAAAAAAAAAAGCGCTTTTAGTGAGATTTTGTTTGAGCGCAGTACCAAACTTTTTCACTAGGGCACAACCAGACACCATTACTGCCCATATAAGGGCGCCTCCATTTCCATATGAAATAATAATTATTAGAATTATAAAATAATTGAATGGAGGCTTTCTGGCATGAAAACAAACAGGTTTCTACCCTTCTTTCATGATTTTTCATGTTCATCACAATTTCAAAATAAAGGTCTAAACACGCCTTAGAGTATGAAAATATTCTTGTTGCAAATTGATAAATTACGGCTCCTCTGTAATATATTTTGAAAAATCAATCACCAAATATGAAAACTAGAGATTCTAAGCTTTCAAATGATATATAGTTTGTTAAGGTTAGTTTTTTTTACATTAAAAATGTAATGGATTTGTGCCCACCGGTGGGTCCGTGACACTAAAGGGGTGATAAGGTTGATCATTAATCTGCTATGTCATGTTTGTGACAGGTTGTGTTGTCTTAGTAACGTCAAGTTGTCATGACAAAGACACTGACAGGTTATGATGTATTGGTTTATGTCAAGGTGTCATAACATTATAGTTAT